AAGCAACTTCCAGCTGAAGAAGAAATTAGGAAAGACGATGGAAATGGATAGGAATACATTACGCAAATCGTCAAACTGCATCACGAGGCAAGCCCTAACTTGGAATCCTGAAGGAAGCGAAAAAAGAGGAAGGCCAACGAACACATTGCGTCGGATAATAGAAGCAGATATGAAAACGATGAATACAACTGGACGGAGCTAGAAAGGATGCCCAGGACAGGGTTGGATGGAGAACGCTGGTGAGCGGCCTATGCTCTTCACGAGGAGTAACAGGCGTAAGTAAGTAAGTAAGTCGTTTCCTTTCTCTGATTGTCTGTCGGATTAATGATTTACGGAACAAAAGCATTCAAAAATCCATTGTCGTGTTCAACTTATTAATTCCGTTATTCACCAACGAGATTTAAGTCGATGAAATATATGAGGATAGCCGACATGTGTATTTCGATAACAATCAGCATACAATTCAATTAGAGTCAGATATAGAGCCACTAAAGTGATGAATCCGTAAACAACATCATCCGATCTAGTTGACGTCAAAATGAACAGCCGCACTAAAAACTTTCCAAAATCATATCGTTACTAGCAAAATTAAAATAAATATTTTGTTATAGCATAATAACCCTATGAACTTTGTTTTCTGATCAATTGTCATTGACTTTATAAAATCTTTACATCAACGGGTAACTTATGAGTAGTAAATATTAAATCATAAAGGTGAATAATAACTGGTTTTTATTTATCAGTATTAAATTGAATAATTTCAGAAATGAATTCAGCTCTGTGTTTGAATGATAGCGCCTCATGTAAACTCAACTATAAGCCTCACTGATATAGCCAGAAGATACATTTTAGGTAGATATCTATTTATCATACTCTAGTGATACTAAATGTCTGGTAGATAATGATCAGTTGAGACTTATTTCATCTAATGTTCACCGTAATAGGAGTTATGATTAACAATGTGTATGATACAATTATTAATTCATTTACAAGGAAATCTGTCAATCAATTTGGTTACTTTACTTATCTTTGAAGTGTGTCAGTATAGTTATCTGACATTTTATAGAATAAAGCATTGAATCAATCATAATAATCGAAATGATGAAATCTTCAATTTCTAAATAGAAGTTTATCTCATGATAGTTATTTCGTTGAATATACTGTAACTAGACAGTTGAAATATTGTTACACTGAATACATATGAATCGTTAGACAAGCTAGAGCTTTAGAATTCTACCGAAATTGCTAAATCTATTATTATTAGCATCATTTACACTACTATCCCTACTACTACTATTATTAGTATTATCATCACATAAAAACTTTCCTGATCATCCTTAAGAAACTCTAGATCTTTAATGATCTCTGTTTAACATAACTGACAATATAATGACTAAGTAAGATTTATTTTTTATACTGTCTAAAGGTGTAACCATCTATAAAACTCTATTAGTTAACGTGTTACTATTCAATCTCTGGAAGTAAGATCTTTTTATATTCATTACTAGATCATTGAGAAATTGAGATTGATCAGCTCAAATATTCTAACAAAAATGGTATACCATCAGAAAAGATGAAATAATAATAATAAGATACGTTTATTAGATTCATTTTCAATCAATTAAATTGTATCTAAGATTGAAAATAATGAACATTAACCATCATTAATAAACGTCATTTCTATGTTCATTGTATAATTACTATGTGGTTTCTTTTTTTTAGACTTCATTTAATGAATAAATTAAGGGGGGAGGAGGAGGAGGAAAGAAACAAATAAACTAATTTCTTATTATTCACTTTATCAGGGTTAATAATGAATCAATAAAATATCCATCTATAAAGAAAAAAATCCATGAAGAAACCATCTAATTAACTTTTATGATTTATGATAGAGTTTCAGACAAATAAATTTTGTTATAAGCAGGTTAATGTGATTTGCATTAAAAAAAAACATGAAAGTAAAAAAAGACTTGATTAATAATGAATGAATGAATGATGAATTCAATATCAAATAAATCAGATCCAAATTATTGAATGACAATTAAACATTGATTATTATTATCATCACATCTAAATCATCAACATCATCATCATCATCCAAATCATCATCATCCGAAATATCCTCATCTGAATCATCATCATAATAATAACAATCCAAATCCTCAACATCATCATCCAAACCATCGTCATCATCATACAGATCATCATCTAAATAGCCAACATCATCATCATCGTCCGAATTATCCTCAACTGAATCGTCATCATCATAATCCAAATCATCAACATCATCATCCAAACCATCGTCATCATCATCATCCAGATCATCATCATTATCCAAATCATCATCTACAACATCAACATCATCATCAATAGCACTAAAACAAATGAAAATTTAAAAGAAGCACATTAAAATGACACAAAAAAAGAAGAAAAAAGAGTGAGAAAAGAAGGATAATCTGAAATGTTTTTTTAAAAAAAATTTTTTTGTTTATTTATTTAGAATAAACTGAATATTTCATTTAATCTCTTAATGACCTTTATTTGACAATAAATAAATGAGTATAGTAGTTGTAATGGCTGATTAGATATAAACATTTCACCAATATTAACTTCCTTTAGGTTGATATAATCATGTTTATATTGCATGAGAAAACAATAAACATGATAAACTTGTCCTTAACTGTGTGTGTGTGTGTGTCTGTGTCTGTAAAAGTTGTTTACTTACGTAAGAAGGCTCATTTGAAACAAAAAGATCAATCGTTGTTGTTGTTGTTGTTGTTGACGCCGTTTGGTTTTTTATAACAATAAGTAGTTATTAGATTATTTACGTTTTAGTGTAAAAAAAAACAAACTGAATTACATAATCCGTGATAAAAATGGTACAAGATATTCATTCGAACGATCAAAATCTAGATTTCATCTTTTATGATTGACTAGGTTATTGCTTATGTGTTACAGCTTCACAACACATTGAGAAGGTAGAATGATGTAATGATACAAAGTATTTTGTGCACAACAATATGTTTCTATTAAGCTATAGAATAATTGAAGAGTTTTAGCCCTATATCGGTCCTTTACATTGATCACTCTATCCAAATAGAACAAAACGTGTATCGTGGATTCCATTGCTAATCACTATCCATCTTTGCTTATAAAGTTTTATGACTTAAGGCAATCTTCACAGGATGCACATATGCCAATAAGAGACTGTTATGATAGGATATAATTTATGTGATATGAATATACTCTATCATTTAAATGATCATCATCAATAGAGAAATGATTCATAACCTTTTCATTTTATTTAATAATTTGCACCTTATCATTCTGTGAAAAACGTTTAATAACTAAAATAATAACAATGACAAATTGAATTCATAGTACATTCAATAGTGTATACTAACAAAGTGAATAGTACACTTTCACCATTTGTTTTATTTGATGAATGACAAAAAGTATGTTTCATTTAAGAAACTAGTTTATTTTTTTAAAAAAAAGAATATTTTCTAAGTGCATTCTACCTGATTTGGTAACACATCAGATTAAAAGTTCAGAGAAATAGTAACTTCCTATATGTTTAACAAAAGTATAATAGTTGAAATCATGAGTCAATTGAAGCTAGACCACCATGGAAAACCTGGAAGCACTGGACGACTGTTTTGTTTTAGTATGGGACTCCTCAGCAGTGCACATCCATGATTCCGCCCCCTGCGAGATTCAAACCCAGAACCCCTAAGTCTCGCGCGCGAGCGTCTAACTATTAGACCACTGAGCCGACATTCAACGGTGTTAATGTCTAGCTTCAACCATTCCACGAAATTGCGCCACCATATACCACTGTCTTCAGTGAGCTGATATCTCACAACAAACCTGGTTGACTCATGATTACAACTATTGAAATTACTAAGATCTCCACAAAACCTCGTCTGATAAAACTATAATACTTGATTTATAGTCATCTAACGTTAAATAAATATAGTTTAATGTCTAATCATTTAGATCAGCGATCGAAATGCACCTAAATTGAGTAGATGTTGATCATACGGAACATTAAGTTTTACTTAAATAACAGTCGTCATACAGTTCAGATCTGACTTGTGAGGTCAAATGTTAGAATGAATAAGTTCTATAAATGATTGTCATACTGTTTAATGAAACTAATACATATAAATTGTATATGTCTGATCTAAACACTGAACGGTAACATAGTAGTTATGAGATCTGAATTACATTTTATTTTGACAAACATGGTATTCTAAAACTTATAACTGTTTATTATCTTTATAGGTACAAACTAAGTTGATATTTTAGTTGTACAAAATGTTATTAAGATAAGTAAATGAGGTTTTACAACATTATTAATGCCGTTCTGTTAAACTTCTTAAGACCTAGTTTATTGGCTATACTTATGAATTAAAAAGAAACTTCTATAGAGACCTAACGATTGATAGCAAGTGAACCCTTAGAAACAAACGGTGAGAACCAGGATACCGTGAACTCCTTATAAAAAGTGTGTTTTCACAACCCTACCGGGGATCAAACTGAAGCCCTTAGACTTGTGCGTACTCTCGAATCTCTAGGTTGTGTGATTACTAGTGAATAACTTCTAGAGGTAATTTGAAGAGTCCTAGCGCAAGGCTGTGATCAGCAAAGTTAGACCATATCGAGTGTGAAGCGGTTATCCACTGCAGACAATGAACGATTGATGAGCAATTTCGTAAACTGATTGAAGTTAGTTATGTACAATGGTAGATTCCGGCTCAAATGTTTAAAGAATAAACGCTCGCTGAAAGACCAGGTTTTTTAAACCATAATACTGACCAAATACTGACAAAAACGTTTCAATATAACTACTAGTCTAAGTGACTTGACATGTTGATGTAATCTTCTTGAAATTAGGTAGTTTACAACAAGCATCTGAGAGTTGGTTGACTACTTTTATTACCAAAAGGAGTTAAAAATTAAATTAATCATAAATATTTGGTTGGTTCGTCCATAAATTATAGTCTTGCCGTAGTAGTAGTAGTAGTAGTAGTAGTAGTAGTAGTAGTAGTAGTAGTAGTAGTAGTAGTAGTAGTAGTAGTAGTAGTAGTAGTAGTAGTAGTAGTAGTAGTAGTAGTAGTAGTAGTAGTAGTAGTAGTAGTAGTAGTAGGAGGAGGAGGAGGAGGAGGAGGAGGAGGAGGAGTAATGATTGTCATAATAATGCTTTCATATTTTTTTAATTTCTTTCTTACTATAATATATTGATCATTTTTTGACCAAAACAGTAAATAAGCACATTGTAATAGCTAGTGCTTATATTAATACTCTACTTATCTATTCTCATTGAATTATTTTTTCTGTTTAACGTTTCTTTTTTTAGCGAGTTAGTTTTCTACGGGATGGGGTCGCTAACGCTATGCTCAACCCTTCTCCTTTATCCGGACTTGGGACCGGCAAGAACTCTAGAAGAGCTACAGGCCGAGTGCTGGTATGCGACCTATGTTCCTCCACAAGGAGTCACAGGCGTCAGTAAATATCTATTATCGTAAGCCTGATTTCAACTTGTTCATACATTTGCATTACCATATTTTACTCATATCTATTAATTTATAGGATACTGTAGGTAAATATATTTTATAAAATAGATGATTCTATCCTAATAATAAAGTAAAACAAAATTCTAAATTCCAGTCAGTCATTTAATTCATTAACTAATCTAAACTATTTTTTTAATGTTGATTTGATCATTTCCATTGTATATACATGAATAGACGTAATTGTAAACATCATGATCATCATCATCATCCTCAACCTCCTCCTCCTCCTCCTCATCATCATCATCATCATCATCCAGAAAGTTTTTTTTTGATTTCCCAGCAGTTTATTCATAAAAAATGATAAATACATTTTAAATGATTATTATTGTTGTTATGTCTATTGCGCAATAGACATTCATATTTGACATTTTATTAATAAAACGAAAACAGTCTAATCTATCAAAATTCATTTATCTTTATTCCCATTTTTCCCTTAAACACAAAGATTGAAATGAATAGACATTACTAAAGAGCAAAAAAAAAACATAATTGTTTCGATGAGTAAGTTATTCAAACTAGATGAGGAATTTTACTTTATTCATTCATATGGGTTCGAATCCCATCGTGGTCGCCAAATTTGCTATGTTTGAAGAGATTAAAAGTTCAACTAATCTGAGAACGGAGTGAAAACTCGGTGACACGATGACCAATAAGCTAGCTATTCCTATGCGTCTCAGCCCCGCTAACTAGAGAGAGAAGTTATAGTTCAAAAGAGGGAAATATATTCTATAAGCATCCAGAACAACGTCAATAAATGAAATTCAAGCGTATATATACAACATAAAAATGTCGTTGGGAAACACTACATTAATAATATACCAAAAGAGATAACGAGTCAATAGCATCTATGGTCCTTCTAAGTGGGAAATACGATATGAAGTTGAAAATAAGGCATTTATCAAGTGAGTTCTAGGAATCTAACATCTCGAACATTCATGTTCACTTCAATAATTTAGGCAATTTACTCATTGCTTTTGTGTAATTAAACCATGAAACATTGTCACTTATATAAATGAAATAAGATTTACTCTTGGAGAGATTTTATACACATCATTTCATCAACAACAAACAAAAGATCACAGGAGAATAATTTGTAGTAGTAGTAGTAGTAGTAGTAGTAGTAGTAGTAGTAGTAGTAGTAGTAGTAGTAGTAGTAGTAGTAGTAGTAGTAGTACGACTAATTAATTAAAATATTCTATTCATTTCAATCGTTAGGGATTCGCTTATTTTGTGGTTTATATAAATATATAGTTACATTATATACCCTTGTAGGTCAAAGTAATTTTACAACGGTTTTCAAGAGAACCAGACAGCACCTAGACTTTCACGTGACAACCCAAACAGCATGGCTCAATCCCGTTTAACAGGATAACAAGACGCTATCCAGGCTTAAATTTTATAACCTGAGAGGTACAGCTCAGTCAACCTTCACAGGAGAACTAGACAGCGTATAGGCTTTAAAGCTGCAATCTGAATAGTACAGCTCAATCCTGTGGCGTAAACATACAGGTGCCAAGCATCCTAGTGGACCATTTGCACCATTCATATACACATTCACGTCACATGTATAGTTATTCCGATCAATGTTCTCGTGAATCGATTATGCACAGGGCGAACAAAGCAAAGTTGACCTATTCCGCCTACACGACAGTCAAACTCATTAATATTAGCAATGGCGACAAGCCTTACAATGTCCCAATGACAATGGCTTTTGAGAACACTGAAAATCAACCACCAGTATGAATGAAATCGGTTAATCAGCAAACCAATTTTGTGCATATATACATATATATGCATATACAGATATATACAAGCTATTATTCTTATAAATCTGTTTTAAGGCACTTTATGTTCATTCCATCAGTCATAACTCATGAATCTCATCTAGTTTCGATCGACCGTAACTGCTAAAAAGTAAATTGATGAGATTAAATTCAACACGTATATTAAACATTCTAATAGGTCGCCTAATTCATAAAGGGTGCAGGTGGATACAATCAACAAAATGTTTAACGAATAATCTTATATGTGATACACAGCAGTGACGATTGTTCATTGGACTATATTTCAGGAACAAGTTATTTTGCTTGTTACTTAATCAGTTCACCAGTTTCCTCTAACGGATAAACAAGGGTCTAATTCTTATTTAATGCTTTGTAATACAACGTTAAATCTTTTTCTGTATAGGTTAACATGAAACAATAAACTGAATGAAACAAACTAGGAAGAACAGGTGTTGAGTTGGCTTTGTTTTTCAAAAAATTGCCAGCTAAAACCAGTTCTTTAGAAGCCCCTCTCCAATTTCACCGTTAATCATCAATCATAAGTAGCTTTAGAAAACTTCATAAAATTCTGGTGAAAAACTGTGACCAGTGAGCACCATGTAAATGAAGAATGAAATGAGTATCGTTCGTAAATAGACATTGTGAAACTACAAATTAATTGCCTATAGTTTGTTTAGTAATTCAAAAGTCTCATAGAGGCCCAGTAATATCTACCGTCAAGAATAATACTATCCTCAGCCTCATAATTTCTAATCATTTATTAACGAACTCAAGTTTGTTAGTAACATTACTGTTAAATAAGGCGGTAATAGCAGGCTTTCTTATTAGCTGTTTAATTAGTAGTAATGTCAATGAGAAATTGTCATTCAAACAGTTGTATCAAGTGGCCCATTTCTTTTGTTTTATAAGATGATAGTAAAAGCCTATTCGATAGGATATTGAGGTCCTGCATTCAATTTGTAGTCTGATTATAAATGTAAATTTTTTTACGGTAGTCTTAAAATCAAATAAAAATGTCATTCAATTATATGTATTGACATTCCAATGAATTTAAGTTTAGGACGATAGAACAGCTTCGTGAACTTTTCATCACTAAAATGATAAATGTCGATTATTTGAATTAAATGGCCACTAAATTGTCATTTCATAAGTCTACTAGTCAATTATAGGCCGTAAGTTTCATATTTCTTCAGGGAATATCAACCGAAAACTTACCATGTAAACATCAAGTATATAAACAGTTGCTAAATAAATGTCATTAAACAATGAAGAAAATAATCCATAATTAATACATTAGTTGGAATTGATCAATCATTCAACCATATACAGTAATTGCTTTAAGTTCCATAAATGTGAGGACGGTTCATAGATGAATCCGAGGAAGCTGTAAGCAGCTCAGAAAGAACCGAAGAATATTCCACAATCCCTACATGTATCTCCTTTATTAGACAAATTCTAATAACCCTGTGTATGCGGATTGGAGGACTATATTGATGATTTCATTTTTATTCATAAACTATAAATAGTTGACATTTCTGTACCATAAAATGACACTGTTTAGAATAATATTCTTTTCATTTGTTTTCTATCATCTCATTTACGACTTGAAAGGGTTCTAGCATTCGACTTCTCAAGTTATACATGGTATTCATAAGAAGAAACTAAGCTCTAGTATAATATAACAATGGACAATGAAGATAACTTATCAAAGATTCATCATCATATAATAATCATAACTTACTAGAATATTGTTCTGATGATGATGATGATGAGGAGGAGGAGGAGGAGGAGGAGGAGGATGAGGATGAGGAGGAGAAGGATGATCTTTTTAAACGATTAATTGGTGTATATATTCCACGTATAGAACAAACACGTTTAAGATTTTTTAAAAATTCATTACCACACATACGTATTGGATAATCCATCATAGTTATATAATCTGTATTTAATGATAATAAACTTTGTGTTGTATTATTCAAATGAATTTCTATAGATTTTTCAATGAGAAATAAATGTAAAAAGAAAATTATCAAGATAAAATAAAATAATTTTTTCATTTTTTTTCTCTGTTCTTTTTCTTTTTTTTCTTTTTGTTGTTGTTGTTGTCGTCGTTGTTAGTTGTTCGTTGTTTTATATTTCGATATAGAATTGATTTTCTTTAAACATATGATGATATTAAAAGAAAGAATAGACACTAATCAACAACATTGAAAATATTCAATAGGTATATTATGAAATATACTTTGTAGTTTGTTTGAAAATGAATATTCAAATCTTGATCCAGATCCAGATCCTGATCCAAATCTAGATCCGTATATATATGTATATATATATGGTGATTTATGTATGATTGTCTAGATCACCGTCTTTAAAAATAAACTATTATTTTAAAGTGCGTAATTCATTATAGACCAATCAGAATTTCACTTTCAATTATTCACCTTAAAAAAGAGAAAAACAAAAGTATCATTAGAATATCATTAAAAGTCTATGTATTTGTACATAAATATGTCTGTTGTATATTCAAAACTGATTAGTCGTATGATATAAACTAACTTTTTTTAAAAAAAAGTTCATTTAGTACGCAAAGTACTTTCTCTATTCATTTATGTATCATTTATCTTTGAACTCAATAGGTAACTAGATGATCAGTTAAGTAATTGAAATGAAAGATACATGATTCAATTCATGATATAAATAGGTCAACATTAGGTGATGTGTATATTCAGTTGACGAAAGGAGAATCTTTGGTTCTATTACTAATCACTATCGAAATTTGTTTTAATTATATAAACTTTGAAAAGATTAAATATCTGAACAAAGATAGATTCTCTTTAGATTCTACAATTCATATATCCAAATTAATAATCGAAAAAGTGACTAGGTTAAGGGCAAATTACATCGTTTATAGTTACCGCATATGAAGCACTCGAGCTCGAAACGGATAGGCCTTATGTTCGAATCCCGCGGCGTGGGATCGTGGATGTGAACTGCTAAGGAGTCCCATAGTGAGACGAAACGGCCATTCAGTGCTTTCAGGTTTTCCATGGTGGTCTAGTTTCAATCAACTCATGTACTCAATTATTAACTTACTATAATATCCATAAAAACCCTTTCTCAAATTAGAATTGTCATACAAAATACAATAAAATTGTTAATGTTGATATGACTCATATAGAATGTTAACTTGAATCAGTTTATATGTTGAGCGGAAATTTAAGATCCATGATAAGAACAAATATAGGTCAGATAGGGTGAGTGAAATAATAGTGCAATTACATTTAGATCAAACGTTTAATGAAAGACAACATTGTGTGAAAAATTACTAATAAGAGATAATAAGTTGGGTCGAATGAGAAGTAAATGGTAAGATTAATAATGATGCTTAACGAACAGTGAAAGTAATAATAATACAAAGATTTGCGAAGAAAAACAGCCGAGACAATTACATTTGATTACGAAAGGTCGTAAGTACAATAGTCGAATTACGTCATTCGATAGCTAAGATTACTATTGATTAATTGGCCTTGAGGTTGTCCAAGGGAGGATAAGAGCTTGAAGATATTTCTTTTGTACTCAAAGCTCCGATTTTTTCATCCGGATAGCTACTGCTTTAGCCGTTTGAAAGACTTTAAATCTGACAAGCTTTGGCGAAAATTTAATGACCCGATAAATAATTGAAAAGGATTGGTTTATACTAGTACTATGACCAGATTTCACTAAATGCGCCAATATCGAACTGTTCACATTCTTCACCGGACCTTTGCTTAGCCACTCTGGGAAGTGTTCACGAGCACGAAACTGTAAATTCCTAGAACTTCGACCAATATAACTTGCTCCACAGAAGCAGTCGAACTGACAAATACAAATTGAGGTGGTCATTCTAGGTAATTTATCTTTTAGTCTCGGTGTCACCATTGGGCGCGGAGAAAACACTAATCGAAGTTCTCCGGCATTAAAAGATTTTTGTATTGTCCTGTGTAATCTCTGAGTTAATATTTCACTAACCAGCATCCCCTGTGTGTTGTAGACGCATGAACAGGAATTTCTTCTTCACCATTTGTATTTCACCTATTTTCACCTTCCTGATCATATATTTAATGATAAACTTTCTAGGGTAACCGTTATCCCTAAGAGCACTATGCAACGTGTTAAGCTCATCTTCAACTATATCCGCAGAACATATAGTGCGTATTCGGTAACTAAAAGTTTTGACCAAGTTTCGTTTGTATTGTAGAGGTGCAAAAGTTAAGGATTTGCGTATACTGCCCAGTCCATGTACCTTTTCTGTTTAAGTTCCTTTTTAACGATCCATCTGCTCTCTTAATTAGGAGAACGTCCAAAAAGACTATTGGACCATCACTCTCTTCTTCAGATGTAAACTGAATGGCTGGATGTACTTCATTAAATCGCCCAAGAACCTCTTGTTGTTACGTATTATCTTTACAGAGGATGAACGTGTCATCCATATATCTACAGTAAAATGTGAATTTTTGAATAATCTTTTTTAGTGCATCATTTTCTAGTTTGGCTAGAAAAATGTTATCTAGTATAAAGTCCAGTGGTGAACCCATTGCAACACCATCCGTTTGTCTATATATTTCTCCGTTGAACTTGAAATTCACATTCATGGTACATTTCAGTGATATCTCTTTTATAACATTAATAGGAACTGTAGTTTCAATTTCATTGTCAATCAATTGTTCACCTATATATTCTACGGTCTCTATGAATGGAACATTTTTCAATAATGATGTTACATCCAAAGATATCACCCTTAACACTATGTTTTATATGTTTTTTGAGGAAAGGTTTCAATATAGTTACTAACCATTTAGCTATAGTATGACAAGGAGAGTTATACATGTCTAAAATTGGTCTTAATGGTATTCCCGGTTTGTATACCTTTGGCATTCCATACAATCTTGACAGATAGATTCCCACTGGGTTAATCATTTCATATAAACCCGAGAAAATAGCCTGTCAGTCCCTGAGCTTTTTCACAAATCTGCTAAGCTCATTCTATATCTTATTATTGAAATCTTTCTGGTCAGGCTATTTTTTTTGAAATTTTAATTTGTCATCTAAGATGATACCAATTTTGTCAATATAATCAGTTTTATTATGAAGAATAACTCCTGAACCTTTATCAGATTTCGTAATCAATAACGTCTCATCCTTTAGGAATAGGTTAACAGCTTCTTTATGCTTCTTTGTAAGAATGTTTTTGTAACAACAATCTACAAGAGTTGATTTAAAATGTTCTATTTGTTGATCAGAATTTGCTCTTTTTTCAAAGAAATAATTAATGGTATTCTGTGAATTATTCATTCTGTAAAGGTATTTGGTTGAGACTATAATTCATGGACGATATTCGAGCGATGCTGAAGTGACCTTGAGAGTGGCCATCTAATAACTAGGCCCAAATGAGGTTTATAAACGAGTGTGAGGAATTAGAATTATGATTTACACTGGATGATTATGGTTAGAAATGTTATATCCCAATAGGAACAATGAATGGTAGTTTTTGGGATCCATTTATGGACCAATACTAAACGTATATTTCTATTGTATAATTATTAATTAACTAACTTATGCATATTCATATTCCTCTTATTATAAGCTTTAATTTGACCCATAGACTATTGCTATACGATTTACCATTCTTGTGTTATGGCCTGTCTATTAATTACTATCTCCCTCACTCACAGCCACTTTTGGCCAAATATTGAACAAATGTTATTTTCTATTTTATGGTACGATGTGGTTGGTTTGATTGGTATATAAACCCCGTATTTTGAAATAAATGATTCATATTGCAGAGGCTGAGATTGGTGTTCTGGACTCAACTGGCTGGGCTAAACAGGAAGCGAGATCAATAAGGACTCTAGGTTGCTCGCACGTGTTTTATGCGTCACTGGTTCGGTCGACAATTCGCCGCTCTCTGATTGGCGGTATCGTTGCGTTATCCAATAACAGGGCATACAGATTCACAAGATATAACAAGAAATTAGATTTAGGGTTTTCATCACGAACTGACATCAGCTATAATTCCAAACCTGTATTGATCCGAATGAATGAGTGAATTTCGCTCGAAAATCCGAGACTTGCTCTCTTATCCCTGATTGGTTCGTTCATAAATTATAATTTCATTGATACTTGTTTTCCAATATTTCACCTAGAACTTTAATTTACTGGCTGCACTCATTCTGTCATCCAGTATATCACATAAATATGATTGTTCATAGTCCATACAGCTAAAGAAAATCTATGAAAATCCGAAACCTTATTAAACACCGTTACAAATTGGCTTAATTATAATATTATTTTATAAGATAGTAAAGGAGAATACAGGTGAGGACAACTGATTACAGAGTTATTTCATAAAATAGAAGAATCATACTCCATACTTTGAAAGAATAAAGTCCGATTATTTACGCGGATGTTATTCATAAATATAGAATAAATATGCTATGGAGTGATTAATCAACCAACTGTGGGGAAGAACAAACCAAATCCCAGCGGAGGAAGAAACCAGGAAGAAGCGCTGGAAGTGGATAGGACACACATTGAGGAAAGCACCCAACTGCGTCACAAGACAAGCCCTCACATGGAATCTTCAAGGCCAAACGAAAAGAGGAAGACCAAAGAATACATTACGTCGGGAAATGGAGATGGATATGAGAAAAATGAACAAGAATTGGATGGAATTAGAAAAGAAGGCCCAGGACAGAGTGGGTTGGAGAATGCTGGTGTGCAGCCCATGCTCCATTAGGAGTAACAGGCGTAAGTAAGTAAGTAAGTAAGTGTTTAATAATGTAAAGGATATAATGAATACAAAATACCAAAAGTGGAATACACTCCATAACGATAATCCATGCTGTAATCTTAGAGTTACTATTATAAAGAATGAATGATAAACACAGTAGGATATACCACACATATGGTATAAATACATCACTATATGCGTTTAAAAATGATGGATGT